GTGGAGCTCACTAGGCTAGTCACATTCAGATTTGCCCTGTGGGGGATTGGCTTAACACAGGAAAGATGGCGCCTGCCTGCCGGCTGCACATAAGGAGGACCCTACTCAGTGAAAATGGCGACTGCCTTCTAGCCCCCATGCCAAGACCACATATCTCAGTCTGACCCCCCATATGCGTCTGACACTCCTGGAGTGACTGTCCCTCCACTGGAGCCCAAGGTGAGTGCCTATGAGTGAGAGAGCCTGTGCGCGGGCTGTTGAAGAGGATGTCTGGGTTTCCTGCAGTCTTCTATCCCACCTGGATGTTTGGAATCCCCACTGTTTTTCACAGCCAGATGTTGTGGGGCTCCTCTTTTTGGCACCAGCCTGTGTGGGACTGGAGTCCCATGCTCCTCTGGGGTGTGGGGAACCTCCATGGCTGAGATACCCCTCCCAGTTCTCAACCGCCACACGGAACTTTGGGGCTAGTTTTGCATCACCACCACTCCTACCAGTCTCGACATGACTTCTTTATATCCTTAGTTATAAAACTTCTGTTTAACCAGACTGCAGATGGTTCTCCAGGTTGATTGTCCCATAATTTAGTTGTAATTTTAATGTGTTCATGGAAGGAATCAGGCACAGTGTTTATTTACTCTGCCATCTTGGATCTCTTCATTTCTATACCTTTGTGGTTTTCACTTACATTTCCCCAATGACTAATAATGTTGAACATAATTTCATGTACTTACTGCCTATTAGTATATCTTCTTTGGAGAAATGTCTGTTCTATCCCTCTACCAATTTAGAAAATTGAGTTGTTTGCCTTTTTGTTGTAAGAGTTCTTTTTGTATTCTGGATACTGGACCCTTATCAGATATATGATTTGTAAATATTTCTCCCATTCTCTAGATTGTCTTTTCACTTTCTTGATAATGTCCTTTGATGTGCAAAAGCTAAAAATTTTGGTGAAGAAGTGAAGTTTATATATTTTTTCTTTTGTTATGCTTTTGGTGTCATATTTCAGAATCTGAGGTCATGAAGACTTACCCCTGTGTTTCTTCTAAGATTTTTTTTTTATCATTTTAGCTGTTATATTTAGGTTATTGATCTCTTTTGAGTTCATATATATGATGTGAGGCAGTGGTCCCAATATATTCTTCTGCCTGTGTATATCCAGTTGTGTCAGCACCATTTAATGAAAAAAAAGATTCTTTCTCATTGAATGGTCTTGGCACTTGTGTCAAAAATCAATTGACCATTGGGCAGGCCGAGTGGCGCGTTGGTTAAGAGCTGGCTTGGGACGTCAGCTCTGAGCAGCAGGGCCCCAGTTCGGATCCCACATGAGGGCCAGTGACACTGCATCCTCTACAGCTAAGATGGCGAACAACAGCTCGACCTGGAGCTGGGCTGCTGTGAGTCACTGGCAATGGCGTAGGCTGCACTGGGGCTGCAGGGGGCTGCTGTGAGCTACCATGAGTGGCCAGCAGCCAGAGTGAGCTGCCATGAGCTACCGTGAGCGGCACCCCAATGGCCGGCGAGTGACTGCCTCATCTGGGAAGAGTGCAATGGTAATACCAACATGGACCAGTGAAGCGACGTCCTCCACAACTAGACTGAAGAACAAAAGGACAGCAACCTGTCTGTTCCCCTTCCCTGATTCCCCAACACTGTTCCCTCCCCCAACTCCCCAATAAAATCTTTAAAAAAAAATTGTTTGGCTTTAATCCTCTGTTTCTTACATGATTATGATGATGAAATTTCTTTTTCATATAATAGCTAATGACATCCCATGGGACTAACATTTAGGGTGATACCTGTTTTGAGAAAAGTAGAAGCAAGTATGAAGGGAATATTTTGTTGATTTATCTTAATATTTCAACAATATAGGTAGGAATTGATTGATTTGAAGTCCTGCCTTCCCATTTGCTTTTTTTTTTTTTTTTAAAGATTTTATTGGGGAATCGGCGGGGAACAGACAAGTTGCTGTCCTTTTGTTCTTCAGTCTAGTTGTGGAGGATGTCTCTTCACTGGCCCATGTTGGTATTATCATTGCGCTCTTCTCGGCCGAGGCAGTCAGTCGCCGGCCATTGGATGGCTGCTCACGACGGCTCACGGTGGCTCATGGCAGCTCTCGCCGGCTGCCGGCCACTCACAGTAGCTCATGGCAGCCCACTTCAGCAGGGGCTACAGCCTACACCTTTGCTGGCTACTCTTAGCAGCCCAGCTCCAGGTTGAGCTGTTTTTCACCATCTTAGCTATGTAGGGCTCAGCATCACTAGCCCATGCGGGAACCGAACCAGCGGCCCTGCTGCTCAGAGCTTGCGCCCCCCACAAGCCAACTGAGCCACTCGGCCGGCCCCCATTTGCTTTTTATGTTTACATTTGAATGGCTTAATTCATTTTAATGATCTTTTGTTGTCATAATATAATTTTGTTGAGTAAATAATAACACAAGCACCATATGTCCTTATTAACCTTAATACCTTTGCTTTTGTTCTTGTTTCAAACAGCTTTTCAATAAGGAAAATTTGAATCATATATAAAAGTAGATAGAATACTATAATGAGCATGTGGCTATCACTCAGCTTCAATAATTATCAACTATTGACCAATATTCTTTCATGAATACCATCCCCCGACTTGTAACCCCCAGCTTGATTATTTTAAAGCAAATCCAGATTATATAATTTCATCCATGAACACTTTAGTATGTATTTTTAAAAGATTGCATTTAAAAGAAATATTATTTTTATTATTATCACACCTATAAATGTAATAATAATTCCTTAGTATCAAACATCTAAATTTCTTCATTTCCAGTTTTTCTGAGTGTCTTGAGTCTTCAGAGTTAAACAATGAATATTTACATGTTTCAAAATCTTCTATTAGTTTAGGATATAAATGTCAGGTTTTGCTTTCAAAGAGGTTATACTATACTAACAAAGTATCATTTTATCCTTTTGGAATCCAGTTACCTTTAGTTCCAAAGTTTGGACTTACTGCTTTATCTGCCCACTGAAGAAAAGTATTTTCTAGTGTAGTAACTTATTAAGAGAGATTATTGACAGGGTTGCAAAATCTAAACAAAGCAGTTAATTCAGTATAAAAAGTATTTTGTGACTTTTGTGTTTGTGTAACACAGAGTGATTAAATACACAAGCAGAATTGCTTCTTGACTATGAAGGCAAGTGGTGTCCAGAAAGGCCTCCAGAGAAGAAGGGGTATTTGCACTATAATAGACGACATCATGAAAATGTGCTTTGCTCGGAGAGAAGTATAGTCATGTCTTACTTGTTCACAGATTGCTCGATAAGTCTGGGTATTATCCAGTCTTTATTTATGCTTCTCCTCTTTGTATTCCTTTACTATACCTGTAAAGAAAAGGAGATGGTGGGACCAAAGCAGAAAAATCAAATTAATCAAATGGAGCATTAAAAAAAACCCTCCAGCTTAGGCTAAATGATAGAGTTTATAATGAATAGAAACTTAATTTCTTGCCCAAACTTTATCTAGGAAATGAAATTAAATTAGTAATGCCTTTTCTCATCACTATGGAACTATCTATATTTGACAGAGGACTCTAGGCCTGGCTTTTCTCTGCTACTGTTACCCTGAGACATGTGCAGCTGGGTGTTCCCATAAGGCTACTTGTCCAGCCCCTAACAGGCTTTTGGCCATGACCAGTCCCCTCTTTGGAACTAGGAATCCATTACTTCCCGGGGTTGTGCTTTCTTAACAAAAATGACATTTAAAAATAAAGCTCTTGATTTTTGCTCCTGGCCAGAGGCTGACTCCTGCCTGAACAATTCATAAATTAGACTTCATCATAATGAAAACTTTTGCTGTGTGAAAGACGCTGTTAAGAGAATGTAAAGAAAAGCTGTAGACTGAGAGTAAATATTTAGAAATCACATATCCAATGAATGACTTCTCTCCAGGTTATATAATGAGCTCTCAAAACTTGATAAGAATAAGAAAACAACCCAATTAAAAAATTGGGAAAGGATTTGAGCAGATACTTCACCAAAGAAGATATACAGTTGGTAAATAAATACATGAAGAAACATGCTCAATATCATTAATATTAGGGGAATGCAATTTGAAGCTAAAATGAGATACGATTACCTGCTTGTTTGAATATCTACCCCCCCCCCCCAAAAAAAAAACCAAACCCAAAATGAAAGAAACAAAAAAAATTAACCATGCCAAGTGCTGGTGAGGATGTAAAAAAGTTTGGCAGTTTCATGAAACATTAAACATACACGTACCACTTGACTCAGTCATTCTACCCTTCACTAATTACCTCAGTGAAATGAACATGTGTGTCCACACAGACCTGGGCACAAATGTTCATAGCAGTTTCATTTGAAAAAGCCCAAACTGGAAACAGTGCAAATGTCCATCAACAGGTGAACAGTCACAGCATTTGTGTTGTATCAACACAGTGGAACACTAAGAATAAAAAGGAATGAACCGTTGATACAGGCAAGCACATTGGATAAATCTCAAAATCCTTATGCTGGGAGAAAGAAGCCAGGTAGTAAAGAGTACACATTGTACGATTCAATTTACGTGACATTCCAAAAAAATACAAACTGATCTATTGTGCCAAAAGGCAGAGATCAATGGTTACTTTAGGGTACCAGTGGGGTGGTGAGGGCTGGATGAAGGAATTACCAAGGGATACAAGGAATCTTTTAGGGGTAATGGAAATATTTCTTATCTTGATTATGGCAGCGATTTAGTGGATATGTATGTCAAAACTTACCAAATTACATACTTCCAATATGTGTAATTTATTATATGTAAATTGCACCTCAATATAAAAGAAAAAGCAAGCCCTGGAACATTCTTCCTGCACATGATTTTTACATGAGTTTTTAACATGACTTTTATACTCTTGCAAAGTAAAAAAAAAAGAGGCTATGGGATCTAAAGTGGCAATTACAATTGTAGAATATGGTCATCCATATGCTCTTTAAATACTGATGTTTATGAGTTTAAACTTTTGTTTTCAGGCAACTACTCTACGAATGAGGAAATTAGAGGAAAATATTGAAGCGGAAAGAGCAGCACATTTGGAATCGAAATTTAATTCTGAAATTATTCAGGTAAATTGTAAACAATTGTTTTTGTATGAATTGTATTAAGCTGGGAAAAAGAGTATTATGTTCAGAGAACTAAGCTGTGCATTAGAATGGGTTGCACATGGGTAAGACACCTACTGTTCTGTTTACTGTAAGGACATAGTTGAGGACAGTCTTTACTATGTTAGAGGAGGAGTTGGCACAGCACAGCCCACAGGTCAAATCTCACCATTGCCTGTACTTGTGAATTTCTGTCTAGTCCGTGGCTGCTTTGATGCTACAGTGGCAAAGTGGAGTGGTTGCGACAGACAGCTTATGGGCCTGCAAAATCCAGAATACTGTATTTTATTACTAGAAATACTACATAGACATAGATCTATAGATAGATGTATAGATAAATATATAAAATACTAAAATATGATGGGAACATAATAAAGAGAAAGATTAAATCTGAGAGGGGAATTAAATGAAGGCATGCTAAGGAAAGTGTCCTTTTCCCTTTCTTAGCGAAGAGAAGGAATTTTTAAGTGAAACAACGCATTTTAACTGGTGTTTGGAAAACTGCCCATGGACCAAGTCTGACCCGCAAACGCAACCTATATTGTAAATAAAGTTTTACATAAAGTTCCACGAGCCTCAGTTCCTTAATTTAATTTGGATTTTTTTTTATGACTTAGATTTTTTTCCCTGAAGTTTTATTACTAGAATTTACAGAATTTCACCTTATTGTTTAAATAGGTCTTAACATGAGATACAACTGAATTTGTTAAGAATTTTATGAATAAATTTTTTTCTTTTACTTTTATCTTGAATGAAATACCCCTTTGACCTACAAGATTCTCAGACCCATGTATTTGAGTGTGTGTGTTAAGCAAACTTGTGTAAATTAAGCTTTTTCTTTTTTAAAATTATTGGATCACTCAAAATGGTATCAATAAACCAAAACAGTTGAACTTTTAAATTCATGAAGAAGTATTATTCAAAATTAAGTTTTTCATTGTACCCGTATCACTGGGAATATATGGTTAATAGCTCTAAAAATTAAAATTATTAAACGTATTTGTTTTTACTCAGTTAAAAATTAATATTTGATATCTAATGTAGGGCTATGACTTAGAAAAAAAGCAAAAGTTTATATTTGAACCTTATATTTATAAATGTTGACAAGTATTTTCAATGAGGTACACCTAGTAAAATTTAGTTTCAGACTAGATTAAAAGAAAATGAGATTATCAAATAGTTATAATTAATCACCATATTATACACTGTAGTTAAATATGTTTCAAGTACTATTTTGTTCTTAAATTTGTTTGTATACTGTCATAAATATGAGAAAGTAGAGTCAAAAGAGTTGACTCAGAATTGTTCATTTGAAGTTAGCTTTTCTTTCAGTTGCATTGGTTTATTATTTGTGATTGTATGCTTATTTTCTGAAGGAAGATAGCAATGTAGTCAGAAGAAATTGCAGTTTTTTTTTTATAAAGAATTTTTTTTATTGGGGAATTGGGGAGATGGGAACAGTGCTGGGAAATTGGGGGAAGGGGAACAGACCAGTTTGTTGTCTTTTTGTTCTTCAGTCTAGTTATGGAGGACGTTGCTTCACTGGCCCAAGTTGGCTCCATCATTGCGCTCTTCCCAGGCGAGGCAGATCAGTTGCCGGCTTCTGGACGGCTGCTCACTGCGGCTGCTGGCCGCTCACGCTGGCTGCTGGCTACACACGGTAGCCCATGGCAACCCACTGCAGCAGAAGCTGCAGCCTATGCGGTTGCCGGCGACTCATGGCAACCCAGCTCCAGGTTGAGCTGTTGTTCAGCATCTTAGCTGTAGAGGGCAGTGTCACTGGCCCTCATATGTGGGATCCGAACCAGGGCCCTCTGGCGTCCCAAGCCAGCTCTTAACCAACGCACCTCTCGGCCAGCCCTGTTTGTTTTTTTTTCAGCTGAGCCATTCTGCCACCTGTTGGCAGCTCAGCGGCTGCTCAGCCAGGGCTGGGAATCGAACTGCTATTGCTCAGAGCTCCAACTCTTGAGCGAGCTCTTAACCAGCTGAGCCACTCGGCCGGCCCAAGAAATTGTTTCCTATATTTATTTTACTTATAAACAAACGTTGGATTTAGACAAAACTGCAAAGAAAAATAAAGTTTAAAAGACTAAATTTGAAATTTACAAAGTTGTATCTACATATCCATTTTACTTCCTTACTTTAGTATAAACATAAATACTTCAATTATTTCAAAATGTGTTTGCATAGTTGGAAATAAGATTTCTGGTGATTATTATTTGTATAGATTAATTTAGGAGCCATTTTCATATTGTCCTAGGTTGCATTTCTTAGTGAGTTCACTTCTCCTTACTCAGGCTGTCTTTTGCCATCCTTGGGTGGCTTGTTCCATGTGGCCCCTGTGCACGCCTTTGTGAGAGAAAGCACTTACCACATGTTGTTGTGGTCTGTTCTCTCCTAACGACTGTGAGCGCCTCAAGAGCTAAGATTGTATTTTTTCATGATTATTATATATATCTTGAGCACTAGCACATTGCCTAGCATAAAATAAGTGCTTAATAAATATCTATCTAAATATTTATTAAATATATATTCATATTTAATATTAAATACATTAATATTAAATAATATTTCATTAGATCTTTGTAGCAACCCTATAAAGTAGGTAGTTTGTATATTGTTATTATTATTATTATTATTATTATTATTATTGTTTACTGTTTACAGATGAGGAACCTCAGGACTTTGGAATTTTAGTAATATGCCCAAGGTCACATAAGTTAATTTGTTGAGCTGGGATTCAAACCTGAGTCTCATGATTCTAAAGCCCATTGTCTACCTAGTGTGAAGCATTTTTCTCTTCCCCCCCTGTTTTTGAACTTTAGCAAACTATTTTTTATTATTTATTTATTTTTAAAGATTTTATTGGGGAATTGGGGGAGGGGAACAGTGCTGGGAAATTGGGGGAAGGGAAACAGACAAGTTGCTGTCCTTTTGTTTTTCAGTCTAGTTGTGGAGGACGTTGCTTGACTGGCCCAAGTTGGCACCATCATTGCGCTCTTCCCAGGCGAGGCACATCAGTCGCCGGCTCCTGGACGGCTGCTCACGCTGGCTGCTGGCTGCACACGGTAGCCCATGGCAACCCACTGCCACAGGGGCTGCAGCCTATGCCGTCGCCGGCGACTCTTGGCAGCCCAGTGTCACTGGCCCTCATATGTGGGATCCAAACCGGGGCCCTCTGGCATCCCAAGCCAGTTCTTAACCATCGCGCCACTCGGCTGGCCCCTATTTTTTATTTTTAATTAAATTTTCTGAAAAGGTAAAATATCCACATAGTTCAAAAATCAAAACAATATTAAACAATAGTGAACTCTTGCTTTCATTCCTCTCCCCACATTGCTCTACCCTCTTGCCTGCTACTTATTCTCTTTTTTGTTGTTGTTGTTGTTTTTTTTCAGCTGAGCCATCCTGCCACCTGTTGGCAGCTCAGCGGCAGCTCACCTTGGGCCGTGAATCAAACCGGGGACCCTGTTGCTCAGAGCTCAAACTCTTGAGTGAGCTCTTAACCAACTGAGCCACTCAGCCGGCCCTCCTGCTACTTATTCTTATTTTTTATATTTGTTTACCCAAAATATAGTATACTATATACTAATGGACTAGGACTTTGCTCTTTTCAATACGTACTAATACTACATAGAGAGCTTCCTTTTTAAAAGTTGTTTTGACCCCTGTTTACAGCTACATGTTATTTTTTTATGGGCATGCACTTTGTTTATCTAGTCTAGTATTTGTGTACATAGGGACTCTAGTTTTTAAAATGTCATATAAAATTTCAATTATATGCAAAAATTGAGACTAATAAAATGAACTCCCATGTATCTATCCCTTAGCTTTAAGATTTACCTTAGGCCAATTGTGTTGTATCTATTATCCTCTTCTACTCTTCTACACTCAGATTGTTTTGAAGCAAATCCTAGATATCATATTACTAGGGCCATAAATATTTTAGTCAAATAGTACTATTCGATAATGAAAACTTCACTTTCCGCAGTGAAAAAGCTCCAGGAATAAAGATATCTATGAATTTAGGCATATAAAGATGTTCATGTAATGATGTTTCTCATAAGAGGGAACGAAGAATTCTCTTTAGTTTTCAAAAAACAGTTAATTTATTATGTTTTATAAAAGAAGTGTCCAAATGGATTAGTAGGTCAAAATTAGGCACTTGGATGGGACAGGTTATACAAGCAGTACATCAGCCTACCCTTTTCCACACCACAATTGACTCTTTATTCTTTTATTCTTCCTCCCTTCCATTAAACATGTTGAGAAAGGAATAAATTGTTTTTTTGTTTATTTTCCTTTTTAAAACAAAGCAGAAATGAAGTGTTTGGATGAATGATAACCTGCTGTTGATACAATAGTATGTTCTTTATCTGGAGTAGATAACAATGATAGTTTCCTTGCTTGCTTTAATTACTTCTCTGTCATCTGTAGTTACGGATTCGAGACCTTGAAGGAGCTTTGCAGGTAGAAAAGGCCAGCCAAGCAGAAGCTGTTGCTGATTTGGAAATGATCAAGAATGAATTCAAAGAAGTTGAAAGTGCATATGAGCGAGAAAAGCATAATGCACAAGAGAGCTTTGCAAAACTAAATTTGTAAGTGTTTCACTGTAAAATTCTCTAAATTAATATAAAGAGTTTATGGAACCTATATAAGTATGAATGTGTAGTGTCTTAGATATAGCTCCCATTAATGTCAGTGGTAGATTGGGGGCAAAGGACTTCATAAAACATAACTATACTCCCTGTACAGGTAAATATGGAAATGCTTTTTTGGATTTTGAAGTATCATGGCTATTCCAAGTAGTCTCAGAAATACAATTCTTACACTAGAAAGTAAATGTATTAATGTATTTCATATTATACCTGCTGAGATAATATAGTACCTTTAAAGACCTTGATTTCTAGGCCACTTAAAATGGTCTGTGCAGAGATGGATAATGTTTGAGATTTTTTCAAACTGCAGGAATAATAGTAGGAGTTATACTGCTGCTAGTGGCTACCATGCATTGTGGCTAACTTCATGCCTCATTGCATGGTTTCATTTAATTTGTGTAACACCCTATGAGGTAGCTACTTTATACATTTAAAAATTTTTTATTTATTTTTCTAAAGATTTTATTAGGGAATTGGGGGAGGGGAACAGACAAGTTGCTGTCGTTTTGTTCTTCAGTCTAGTTGTGGAGGACATTGCTTCGCTGGCCCATGTTGGTATTATCATTGTGCTCTTCCTGGGAGAGGCAGATCGGTTGCCGTCCTCTGAACGGCCACTCATGGCAGCTCTTGGCAGCTCACTCTGGCTGACAGCTGCTCACATGGTAGCTTATGGCAGCCCACTGCATCAGGGGCTGCAGCCTATGCCGTCGCCGGCAACTCACAGCAGCCCAGTTCCAGGTCAAGCTGTTGCATCTTAGCTATAGAGGGCAGTGTCACTGGCCCTCATGTGGGATCCGAACTGGGGCCCTGCTGCTCAGAGCTGGCGTCCCAAGCCAGCTCTTAACCAACGTGCCACTCGCCGACCTGGTAGCTACTTTTTAAAAATCTCTGTTTTACAGATGTGGAAATTGAGGCTTAATTAGGGTAAGGTCACACAGCTAATAAGTGGCAGAGTCAGGACATTTCTGACTCCTGGTTTTAACCTTTTTCAATTCAGAAACCTTTCATGTGGAATTATCTGTGTGATGCTTTAAGAAGATTATAATTTGGGCTGGCCGAGTGGCGTGTTGGTTAAGAGCTGGCTTGGGACACCAGCTCTGAGCAGCAGGGCCCTGGTTCAGATCCCAAATGGGGGCCAGTGACACTTCCCTCTACAGCTAAGATGCTGAACAACAGCTCGACCTGGAGCTGGGCTGCTGTGAGTCGCCTGCTGCAGTGGGCTGCCATAAGCTACCGTGTGTGGCTGGCATCAGGTGTGAGCTGCCAAGAGCCGCCGTGAGCAGCCGTCCAGAGGCGGGCGACCGATCTGCCTCACCTGGGAAGAGCGCAATGATAATACCAACATGGGCCAGTGAAGCAACATCCTCTAAAACTAGACTGAAGAACAAAACAACAGCAACTTGTCTGTTCCCCTTTCCCTGATTCCCCAATAAAATCTTAAAAAAAAAAAAAAAGTTTATAATTTAAAAATTTGTTTCCAAAAGAAAAAAAAAAGGTCACTAGTAGAAGTTTTAAACCATTTGCCCACCATTAGTATATGACATGGTAATAGGTTGGCAATTAGAGTTTTGTATTAATATTTATTATTTTTTTTAAAGATTTTATTGGGGAATTGGGGGAGAGGAACAGCGTTGGGGAATCAGGGGAGGGGAACAGACAAGTTGCTCTTTTTTTTGTTCTTTAGTCTAGTTGTGGAGGACGTTGCTTCACTGGCCCATGTTGGTATTATCATTATGCTCTTCCCGGGTGAGGCAGATTGGTCGCTGGTCACTGGACATCCGCTCACAGCAGCTCTTGGCAGCTCATGCCGGCTGCTCATGGTAGCTTACGGGAGCCCACTGAAGCTCCACTGCAGCCTATGCTGTCGCCGGCAACTCATGGCAGCCCAGCTTCAGGTCAAGCTGTTGTTCACCATCTTACCTGTAGACGGTGCAGCATCACTGGACCTTATGTGGGATCTGAACTGGGGCCCTGGTGCTCAGAGCTGGCGTCCGAAGCCAACTCTTAACCAACGCACCACTTGGCCGGCCCATTAATGTTTGTTTCTTTTTATGACAAATAGATCAGGTTTTCCATTTACAGCAGTAGTATAAAGATTCCTTTTAAACTTGTTCATTTAACTTCAGTGAGTTAAAGAAAAGTATTATTGAAATAGTAATTATTATGAGTATGGAAAAAATCATAAAGATGGTACTTGAAAGACAGAAGCTTGAAAAAATTTATAACTTTTAATTGTGATTATCTTTGTTAGTAATGTTTAAAATATTTTCATGTAGTCTCTCATCTAGTAATTCTTAACTGAATTTTCTTGCTTTCTCCAGGATGACCTAAATGACATTCTGTGAGTGTTATTCTAAGGACTTATCTTCCTTTATTTCCTTTGAACTATTGCTTGACTCTGCACGTTTATGTATAAATGTTTGCAGAGCCTTCATGTAGAATGTAGCATAGGCTTCTTTCCTGTTGCTTTGATTAGGACCTACAAGTGAAATTGTAAGAAGTCAGGTTGTACTCCCAGCAGTTAAAGCTTTCCAACAATGAAAGGTTTCTTTGGGGGAACCAGTGAGCTCCCCGCCTTGGGGAGTTCAAAACAGGGTAGACGATTCTCCATTATGGGTATTGAAGAAGAGAGTGCTGCAAAGACTGGACTAGAGAAATTTAAGGTACCTGCTAACAATTAAGCTCTAAGATTTTAAGTTATGTACTTTTCTAATTGGAACCAAAAGCAAATTGTTTTTTGTTTTGCTATTATTTGTATTCTGGTGCATGAAAAATTTTACTCGAATTTTGTATTCTAATAAGCACCAACTAACAACTCTAAATATTAATTACATATTCAAATTAAGCACCAAATAATAATCCTAATTTCTTTAACAAAATAACCCTTGTCTGTTCTTCATCCACATATAACTGTGCGGTAATAATAGAAGTTAATAGTAAATAATAAACAAAAATTAAATAATAATTAAAGCCCACTACTTATTGATAGTTCTGTGACTTCTCTTCTGCCGTCCCGTCTTTTTCCCCTTGTATGTGATATGACAGCCACATCTACTCCAATTATCTGTGGCATTAGAAGGAATGATATGACATGAAGGATGATTGAATAATTTCACTTTCTATCCATATTTCTGACTCTTCTTTAGAATCTTTAAAAAATATTTAAAAACCTTTTAGAGTAATAAGTTCTCAAATATTAATTTTTCAAAATAGGTCTAAGTTTTGGATAATGTATTCTGAAAGGAGACTTGGTAGATTTTGAGTCTTTAGGGTAATTTACACCTCTAATTTACAACTTTGAGAGTGGGAAGTTTTGGGGTAGGGCATTGTTTTGCCTGTTGGATAGAACTGATTTAGCAATTGATAATAAGGAAGTTATAGAAAAAATGCTCTCAAACTGGCCAGTGGTTAAGTTCTTAAGCTTCTGTTTCCTCCCAGGTAGATCTAGGCAGGATCTCATTAAAAGTCTGGAGAAAAAAGCTGTGTGTGTTATTTCGGGGCCATAATTTCTGTCAACTGTTTCATAACAATGAACATCCATGCATGAAATTATTTTAGATGGAATATATTAGATGGAATGTTTTTAAAGAGCTCAGCTAAGAATTTGATAACAATACCAGGCTATTTTAACAAATTTATATATTATACAATTTTAGATAGAATATATATATTTTATATATTTCTGTAATCAGATTGTCTTATTATAAATACTTTTCATCTAAAACTTACACTATGAAACTAAAGCTTTTTGTTAATTTTGTTTAAGAGTTTTCAATATGTCAAGTCGTCATAAGCTGTAGTAATTGATTGCTGGGCAATGGTCAGAAAAAGAAGATCATGGTAATCCTTAAATCTAGTTTAAGTTTAAATTTAGTTTAAAACAACACTAATCAAAGATATGATACTGAACAGATTGAATCTAAATTTATTCATTCCACTAAATATTTAAGAATTTTAAAATTTTTTCTAAATATATCACCCAAAAGTATAAAAAAATAACAAAAGTATTATAACAGCATTATAATTGTTTACTTTCTTAGTAAAAGATGCCACCTGTTGGCATCCTGCCACCTGTTGGCAGCTCAGCGGCAGCTCAGCTCGGGCCAGGCATCGAACCGCTGTTGCTCAGAGCTCACATTCTTGAGCGAGCTCTTAACGAACTGAGCCACTCGGCCAGCCCAAAAGATGACTTTTTATGAAAGCTTTCTGTCACTGTTGTTAAATTCTTGGCAGAACTCTTTTAAAAAAATAATAGAATGGGAATCCAGTAGGAAAGAAGGCATCTTTTCTACTTCCACCTTCTCTCTTTCTTTTCTTGCCTAAATCCTCCACTTTTCAAGTCCTGACTCTTCTCTACTGAAATTCAAAGAGACAGGGGCTCCCTTTAACCTTCATTATACTCTACCCTTAGGTGGAGCTGTGGCTAAAGCATAGGGGCCAACTTCTGTGCGTTGTCCTGTCAGCAAGGGATGTTCCCCTTTAGTGGACTCAGTTTGGATTTTATTTATAAAATAGCACCAAATAACAATTGCATTTAGTTTTACATTTGCTAACAATTTTTAATTAAAAATTTGGTTTTAATCAAATTAATAATTGTACATATTCTAAAAAGTAAAGTAGTACTGTTAAGCTCATGAAAAATATCAGTTTTGTGTTTCTGTACTCCTTTGAGACAACCACTTTTAATTCTTATTGCTGTTTCTTCTGATATTTAACTTTATATTTGTAAACAAAATTTATATTCTGCCATTTTTTCAATTTCCACCTTGAGATATTATCTGTTGGCCTTTACTTATTTATCTTCACTGTACCCTTCTTCAACGTAATACACATTTATTCATTCCCTCCTCCCATCTATTAATAGGGTTATATCTTTGGGTATGTTTTCTACAACATTTTTTTGGTAACTCATCTTTGTTTTTCTTTATAACACAGTTTTAAATAGTCTGTTTTGTGTATTGCCTGTCTTCTTATGTAGAGAGAAAATGTTTTGTTCATTGCTGTCTCCCAATGCCTAGATTAGTGCCTGACATGTAACAGCTGTTAAATAAAGATTTGCTGAATCATTGAATGAATTGTTAATAATTGCCTCATTTTATTTTATTTATTTATTTATTTTAAAGATTTTATTGGGGAATTGGGGGAGGGGAACAGCATTGGGGAATCGGGGAAGGGGAACAGACAAGTCGCTGTCCTTTTGTTCTTCAGTCTAGTTGTGGAGGATGTCGCTTCACTGGCCCGTGTTGGTATTATCATTGCGCTCTTCCCGGGTGAGGCAGAGCGGTCGTCAGCCACTGGACGGCCGCTCACGGTGGCTCTTCACAGCTCATGCCGGCTGCTGGCCACTCATGGTAGCTTACGTCAGCCCACTGCAACTCCATTGCAGCCTAGCCGTCGCTAGCAACTCGGCAGCCCAGCTCCAGGTTGAGCTGTTGTTCACCATCTTAGCTGTAGAGGGTAGTGTCACTGGCCCGCATGTGGGACCTGAATCGGGGCCCTGCTGCCACTCAGCAGGCCCAATAATTGCCTCATTTTAAATTGGATTAATTTATGTGCACCAGTCGCTAAGTTATTTTTAAACTCTCTAGAACTGAGAACCTCTTATGTTCCTAGACCTCAGAAATTGTATCATATTTAAGGTTTCTCTAAGAGAAAGCTTAGACTACTGGATTCCACTCTCTAAGTTGTCCACCGGATGATACATCCTGAAAATGTCTTTTTTGATATTTACCTCCTTTCATAGTTTAGCTGGCTATTCATTCAGTTCTAGTGTCAAAAAGTCTGAAGCGATTTGGTGGATTATCTAGAGCAAATTTTAAACTAAAATACTTCCAACCTACCTTTCATGCAAGAAAGTAAAAACAGTTTAATGCCAGCCTGATAAAAATTTAAATAAGAAAAGAAATTCATGTGTTTTCACAGTGAATATGAATGATTTTTGACAATCCTTGCTTTTTGATTTTCCATGCTGTCACTCTAGTTCTACCTGCATGTACATGCAGGAATAAAACATTTGTTTCGTGTTTAGTGCTATACTTTAATTTGAAAATTGTTTGATAGGACTGTTCTGTGTCTTGAGACAGTTTCTGAGCTAATTGAACTGTGGTGAGTGGGTTTTGTTCATCAAAAATAATAAGACCAAATCAACACTAAATGTATCTTGCTTATAACCTTGGGCATAGTGAAAATATCTGCTAACAAAAGGGGGGAGGTATTATTCATTTAGAGTGTTTCATTTAAGAATGGGCAATCTTTTTTATTTGAAAAAATGAGAGATGACCTATAAATGCCTTTGGCTTGACATCTGCCACTTGTCTTAAAGGTGTATAATAGGACTTGATAAAAGCATATTTGAAAAACTTGCTCTCATACTTTTAACTTTTCAGATTAGAAAGAGAGTATTTCTCCAAAAACAAGAAACTGAATGAAGAGATTGAGGAACAGAAGAAAGTAATTATAGACCTTTCAAAGAGACTCCAGTATAATGAAAAAAGTTGCAGTGAATTACAGGAAGAACTCGTAATGGTAAGGATAAAAAAGAAAACCCTATGGCAATTATTTTATTGGGTCAAATTTGATGTTTAACAGGTTTTTTTCCTTACAACATGCCATGCGATAATAACATGAAAGTAATTTTAGTGACATTGATATAAAATTCCAAAACTGAAGATGTTGATTACAACTAACATGTACATAATAAAACCTTTTTTCTTTGGAATAATTGGGAAAACTAATTGAACTAGTGAAAACTGAATTTTAGAATGTTTTAAAATGTATTCAGGGTTTTTTACTTACCGTATTTGCCGGCGTATAAGACGACTGGG